TTCTGCAATTCAAGCAGTTTCAGTACTCTGTGCAAAATTAATAAAAGTGTACCAAGCCAGTTATTTAAACATTGATATCTATTTCTCAAATAATCTACCTGCTATTCTACATGGAATTATTAAAAAAAAGTATAAAAAATGCTAAATAAATGTCACAGAGCACAGAAATAGCCCAGCAAGCCCAGTTGAGGGAATATTACCATGTCCATGCAAGCAACAAAAAAAGTGTTTAGCAGGGTTGGATTAGTCTTAGCTCAGTGCAATGCTACTTTGGGAGGTGAAGGAGAGACTTGTTATATGAGAACAAGTTTGGTTTGTTTCTTACAGAATAAACATATTCCACTTCAAAGGTAAAACAATCTATATTCCTGAATACTGAAAGAGTCCACAAGACCGCTATAGGATTTCCTCTCATTTACAGCTTGAAATTCAATACAATCTACAGCAGTCAGCTGAAAGTGTGACAAACAGTGCTAGTTACCCAAACCCTGCAGCTCATGAGTTCCCACTGCAGCATCCCAGTTGTGGGAGCAATGCCACCTAGAAGGTGCAAGAGGAGTTTTTGTCCACAATGCTGGATATAATCCAGTGAGTCATGGTTTCCCCTAAGCACTGACATTGCCATAAATGCTCTTTATTCAATGCAAAGCAAGAGCTGCCAATTGCACATGGCTGTGCAGCACACAGATGTTGCACATCAGGATATAATACAGCCACAGATATTTAGAAGTGCTGTCGGAGTGCTGTCATTAGACAAATCCCAACCTGCATCACAGAGAACATGTCCAAGACACAGCTACAGCTCAAGATCTTTTGTGACAGCAGGATATTGGTTAGGTGTGATTGATACTGGGGAGATGATAATTGCTGGGTAAATAAAAAGAAATATTGGATGAGCAGTGGGGAAAATAAACATGGTCACATTTCAAGAAATTCTGAGTGAATTAAAATGAAGTGTGCTTTTCTTATTAACATGTTTTAATAAAATTGTGCATTATTCCAAACAGGCTACTGTGACTATGCAATGACAGCAAATATGTTAGAGTACAATAACTGCTGAGGCTGCTATTTTACTTTTCCAATGGGCAATTTTGAGGTTTTTGTGCAAACTTGTTTTACCCTACACAATTTTCTGACTGAGATGGTCATTCACAGTAATACCTACACCTACTTGCTGAGTTATGCTAAGAACATCCATCCCTTCTGCATGATGTTTAAGAGAAAGAAGCAACAGCAAGCCAGCTAATTCTTTGCAGAATAATATATCAGCATACCTGTCTTCAAGCTAAAATTAACACGTGAATATAATTCTTTATAAATATATCTGCAATTTGAGGCGTGATGCAGCACATACAATTGAGGATGCACAAGATGGTTTTTTACTGAAATGAAGATGCAATATTTGATTCTTAGGTTTGAAAGAAGTATAGCTTAATTAAAAAAAAAAGCTTATGATTCAAGTCTCTTTTTCACCTCAGAACTAATTTATGGTGCATTATACACATCCTGCAAATGATGAACAACAGCCTTGCATAATTGCTTTCCTTACAAAGTGTGGGGATCAAAGGATACGTTTTAGATGTGTGGCCACCGATATGACCAGGCAAATAACCAACATAAGAGTTGATGATGTGCTGTCTTTGATAGATGTAGTGTTATAAATTGTCTCTTTCATGATAAATCTCAACAGGAGAAGAGCACTTTTTGGTGCAGAGATTTAAATGAAGAGAAAATGTGGTTGTGTGCAAGTGTAATTGTTAATAAGGAGAAGAGAACTGTGCTGGTCACTTACCAACCATTTTGACATCTAGATGTAACAGGTTTTGTTCACTAAAGCTAGCAATAGTTCTGAAACCTATTACAATCCAACTTGATGTCTAGATCGTAAACAGAATCAACAAAAACTTGTGGGGGGTTGGAGAGCAATTCTTCAATTATAGTTCAGCCAAGTCCTACATGACACAATTGAAGAACAATTTTGTCCATCATTTCTCAAAACCAATTCACATTTTCCCTATCATATTCCAGGTAAGCTGTGGCCACAAATACTGCTGTTTACAGCAAAATCACAAAGAGCATCATAGCCAAATGCTTATATGTGCTTCATCTGTCAAGGGGCCAAGCAATCACCCCTCTGGGAGAGCTAACAGAGGTCACTTGAAGCCAGGAAGCCTGACAGAGATTTCCTTTATCCATTGTCTGAAGTTTAAGTGATCAACGCTCTGTAACAACACACAGGCTCTGAAAGGTTCAGTCCTCACTCTGAAAACGTTTTAGGAAGGCCTCAGCACTTCCTAGGAGTAGACACATTCCTGGCAGCAAACACCAAAGCATGGAGTAAGCAGTGCCAAAGGGAAGCTGGTGCCACATCTGGCAGGACAAGGCTCTGTGTCTGTGTTAACTCGTGCACTCCTATGGAGCTGACTGCTGTACAGCTTCCTGCAATTCAACAGGGTTCTCTTTTTAAATAGGTAAGCCATGCACAGGTATAATTCCAGTCTGTGTGGGTTAAGGCAAAGGTTAATCTATACTTATTTAACATCACCAAAAGATTTCTGGTTTTTAATACTCTGGTCAGAAAAGCAATGGTTTATTAGGGAAAGTTTCCAGTTGGAGGAGCTGGCTGCCTTCCTCAATCTTATTCCCTGATTCCCATGCTGCAGCCTTTGGCTGCTGTTGAGAACCTCGGAGACTCCTGCCTTTGCTAGACATAAACATTTTCCAGAACTGGATTCCCTGTTTGAAAAACAGACCCTAGAAAGCTCAGTCCATGAAGAGTGTCCTCACAGAGGGGAAATTAAAATGAAATGCCAGCTATTATTTGGCTGTTTCCCTCTCTCTCCTGCCACCATCTATACCTGAGCGCAGTGAGCTCCACTTCAGAGTTGATTTCCTTCCCTTCTGGGACTCCATGCATATGAGCCTTGGTGATACAGGATTCATCTCTGTGAATTTAACACTGAAGCAAGGATTCATCTTAAGACTGTAATTTACAACATGGCAAGAAAACACATGCTATTTGGAGACAAAAAGTTCCTTTGAATCTTTAAGGGCATTTGGGAGAATCTAACCTGATTCTTAACTGCCTCTATTTCCATTATTGTTCTGGAAAGTGTTATTAGCTGCCAGAAAGATCTACCCTGATTAAGGCAAGTGTTAAGTTGAATTGAAAGCAGTTAAATTAAATCATAAAATCATAGAATGGTTTGACCTTAAAGATCATGTGTTACAATGCCCCTGGCCAGGGCAGGGACACCTTCCACTAGACCAGGTTGCTCAGAGCTCCATCCAGCTGGCCTTAAACAATCTTTTGTGCACTGACACCTGAAAGGAGAGATCATCAAGGCTGGGCAGGCACGGTGGTAAGGCTGTATGTTTGATTTGTACATGGCTGCTTCAACAAAGCCATGCCACTTGCCAGGGTATGAGACGAATCACTGACCCCATTAGGGAGCGATAGAATCTAAAACTCTGTAACAGTGACTGATCCTATGTGTATGACAGTTCAATGCCTTCCATGCCAAAGCTCCAACTAAAAATCGTTAAAACATACATTTCTTCTAGAAAATGAGGCAGTATTCAGCACCATTGCTGAAAAAACAGTAACTATTCAGCTGTGGCCACTGTAACCATTTTTCCTTACAGATTTATTTACCTGGTCTAGTGGAGGGCACCCCTACCCAACAGGGCAGTTGGAATGAGCTGATCTTTAAGGTCCTTTCCAACAGAAACAAGTCTACGATTCAATAATTCTATCATTTCTAGTTGCGAAGGGGGATCAATATCCACGTTTCTAGTGCGATTTAGGCTCATTAGGTTAAGACTGACTTAATAGAGGCGTCCTCAGCGGCGCTGCTTTACCTACAGCCCCACCTCGCGGCCACAGCGCGGCACAGCGGCCTCC